TTGGCCAAGGAGAACTGAAACTTGTGTTCTGACATCTAGCTGATGTCACTCTTTTTTTTTTTTTTCTCTGAGATTGACTTTATGTATACATGTATTTGGTTTTTGTTTGCATTGATATACAGTGTTGTATTTTTTTCAGGTGTATGATATAGTGATTCAACAATTCCATACATCACCCAGTGCACATCATGACATCACTATTTCACCAGTGTCCTGTCCTACCTTTCTCCCCTCTGGTAACTATCACATTGTTATCTACAGTTAAGAGTCTTTAATGGGGGTTTGTCTCACTCTCTAACATTTTTCCCCATTTGTTATTTGTTTTGTGTGTTAAATCCCAAATATGACTGAAATCATATGGTATTTGTCTTTCACTGACTGACTCATTTCACCTGGCATTATACTGTCTGGCTCCAAACATGTTGTTGCGAATGGCAAGATTTCCTTATTTTGATGGCTGAATAATAGTCCGTATTTACTTCTTCTTTACTCATTCATCAATAGATACTGGGGCTACTTCCGTATCTTGGTTTTTGGAAATAAAACTGCTTTAAACATAGGGGTGCATGTATCTTATTAATTAGTGCTTCTATATTCTTTGGGTAAATACCCAGGAGTGTGATTGCTGGATCATACGGCATTTCAATTTTTATCTCTTTGAGGAACCTCCATACTGTTTTTCAGAGTGGCTACACCAGTTTGCATTCCCAGCAGTGCAAGAGCATACCTCTTTCTCCACATCCTCACCAACACGTGTTGTTTCTCTTTCTGCTGCTTCATTATTATTGTATAGAAAGGTTACAATTTTCTGTACATTGATTTTGTATCTTACAGCTTTTCTGAATTCATTTCAGTTCTAGCAGGTTTCGGTGGGAATCTTTTGCGTTTTTTATATAGAATATCACGTCATCTCTAAACAGTGAAAGGTTTACCTCTTCCTTACTGATTTGGATGCCTTTTATTTCTTTTTGTTGTCTGACTGCAATGGCTCGGACATCCAGTACTATATTGAATAAAAGTGGTAGGGTAGACATCTGTCTTGTTCCTAACCTTAGGGGAAAAGCTCTTAGTTTTCCCCTTTAAGGATGATGTTAGTACTGTGTTTTCCATGTATGGTCTTTTTTAATGTTGAGCTATGTTCCCTCAAAACTTACTTTTTGAGAGCTTTCATCATGAATGGATGTTATTTTCTGTCAAATGCTTTTCTGGCATCTGTTGAAATGATTACATGATTCTTATTCTCTTGTTTATTGATGTAGTTTGACTGATGTGATATATCACATTGATTGGTTTGTAATGTTGAACCATTCTTGGAGTGCATGAATAAATCACTATGCAGAAGACATGAGCAGACAAGACTTGAGTGGTGAGTAATTTTTTAATGTTTGTTGAATTTGGTTTGCTAGTATTTGTTATAGATTTTTGCATCTATATTCGTCAGAAATATTTACGTATAGTTCTCTTTTCTTGTGGTGTCTTTACGTGGTTCTGGTATCAGAGTAGTGCTGCCTCATAGAGTAAATTTGGGAGTTTTCCTTCTTTTTCTATTTTTTTGGAATAGTTTGAGAAGAATAGATATTAAGTCTTCTTTAAATGTTTGGTAGAATTCACTTGTGAAGACATCTCCTATTGGACTTTTGTTTGTTGGAAGGTGTTTGATTACTAATTTTTTTTTTTCTGTTTATGGTCTGTTCCTTTTTTATTTGTTCCTATTTCAGTTTTGGTAGGTTATGTTTCTAGGAGTTTGTCTATTTATTTTGGATTACCCTCTTTTTTGGCATATAGTTTCCACAATATTCTCGTATAATCGTTTGTATTTTTGTCGTGTTGGTTGTTATTTCTCTTCTCTTTTTTGTGATTTTATTTATTTGTGTCCTTTCTCTTTTCTTCTTGATAGTATGGCTAGCAGTTTATCATTTATTGATTTTTAAAAGAACTAGTTCCTGGCTTCTTTGATATTTTCTATTGTTTTTCTAGTTTCTACATCATTTCTTTCTTTTTTAAAAAATATTTTTAACGTTTAATCATTTTTGAGACTGACACAGAGCATGAGTGGGGGAGGGTCAGAGAGAGATGGAGACACAGAATTCAAAGAAGGCTCCAGGCTCTGAGCTGTCAGCGCAGAGCCCAACATGGGGCTTGAACTCACAAACTGTGAGATCATGACTTGATCTGCAGTTGGACACTTAAACGACAGAGCCAATCAGGTGCCCCCATTTATTTCTGCTCTAATCCTTTGTATTTATTTCCTTTTTTTTCAGATTTTGTTTGTGTTTGTTTTTCTGGCTTCTTCAGGCATCAAGTGAGTTGTGTATTTGATTTTTTTTTTCGTGCTTCTCGAAGTAGACCTGTATTGCTTTAAATTTCCCTCTTAGAACCAGAGTCGCTGCATCTCAATGTCTGAACTGTGGGGTTTTCATTATCACTTGCTTCCATGTAGCTTTTTGTATTTTCTTTTATTTCCTGGATGACCCATTCATTGTTAATTAGTGTGTTACTTTATGTATTTATGGTCTTTTCAGATTTTTTCTTGTGGTTGACTTCTAGTTTCATAGTTGTGTGTTCAGAAAAGATGCATGGTATGACATTGACCTTTTTGTATTTGTTGGGGCTTGTTTTATGGCTTAAAATGTGTTCTATTCTGGAAAATGTTCCCTGTGCAATTGAAAAGCATGTGTATTCTGCTGTTTTAGGATGCAATATTCTCAAAATATCTACTAAATCCATCTGTTCCAGTGTGTATTCATAGCCATTGTCCTTGTTAATTATCTGTTTAAATGATCTTGTCCATTGATGTAAGTGGGGTGTGAAAATCTACTATCAGATACTATGAATGTTTAGTTTTTTTCTATTTGTAATTAACTTTTATGTATAAGGGGAGCTTACATGTTGGGTGCATATCATTTACAATTGTTATATCTTTTTGTTGGATTGTCCCCTTTATTAATTCAGCTTCTGCTGAAAAATGCCCTACTACCATTATGGGTTTTCCCTTGTATGTGACTTTTTTTTTGCCTTGGTGCTTAAATATTTTTTTCTATATCCCTGTTTTGCCAATTTAATTATAATATCTATGTTTCTGTGGGTTTGCTTTTGTTGATTTTCCTGGGGGTTCTCTGTGTCTCCTGGACATGGATATCTGTTTCTTCCCCCCAGATTTAGGGAAGTTTTCTGCTCTTAATTCTTCAAATAAATTTTCTGTCATCATTTTTTCTTTCTTCTCCTTCTGGGATTCCTCTAAAATGAATGTTCTTATATTTGATGGAGTCACAGAGTTCCCTAAATCTATTCTCATTTTGACTAATTGTTTTTTCTCTCTTTTGCTCAGCTTAATAACTTCCCGTTTCTTTGTTTCTAGGTCAATATGTCATTCATCTCCTTCTTTCAGCCTGTTGTTCATTCCACCAAGTGTGTTTCTGATTTTGTTTATTGAGACCTTTATCTCTGCTATGTTATTCCTTATCTCTGTAGTAACGGTTTCACTCATGTCTTGGATTTTTCTCAAGTCCAGTATCTTTATAATTATCACATTACATTCACTATTAGGCATGTACTGTTCTTTCATTTAGGTCAAATTCTTCTCTTTTCTCATTTTGTCTAAGTTTCTGTGCCTGCCTCTGTGTTAGAAAAGTCAGCTACTTCTCTTGTTCTTCAGGGTAATGGCCTTATGCAGAAGAGTTTCGGTCATGTCCTGAGGTGTGGTGACCCCTATTCCCCAGGGCCTGGCACTTCAGGGAGTGTCTCCCATGTGTGCTTGTGGACACTGCTGTTGTGTCCTGACTGCTTTATCTTTCTGGTCACTCATCTGCAGAGGCTCTCTTTGCCTGTTGTGAGCCGTGTTTGGTTCCTGCCCTGAATGTGGTGAGTTTTAACTTGGTATCCTCTGGTCTGCTTGTGAAATGAGATTTCTCAACACTGCTGCTGGAATCAAGCTCCTACCACCACTCCCCCCAGGGGAAAAAAACGACCTCCCAAGGTGGGAGATGCAGTTTGGGCAGGAATCTGGTCTGGTCTTTCATGGTTGGGGTTGCCTGCTCTGGGCCTAAGGAAACTGTGACTGGAAAGAGTGGTTCCACCGGAGCATGGGGAGGCAGGCCTTGGTGTCCGCAAGTCAGATAGCGAAGGTGGGCCCTGTGCTGGTTCCCACAGTTGACCTTGTGTTTATCCTGAAGGGCAGGAGAGGGAAATGGCACCTGCCAGTTCCTTTGTTCCCAGAGGGGTCTCTGTGAATGCTGCCTTTCTGCAACATGCTCCAGGATGAGCAAATAACCTCCCCATTGTGTGCTCCAAGTGCTCCTCAGGTTGCTGTCTCCATGCTGTATGTCCACTGACTCTTTGCCTGCCTTATCTCCAAGAGCAGCCCCGATGCCCTGTGAACTCTCGCAGACCCAATCACACTGACCTTTCAAACTTCAGGCTTTAAGCCCCACTGGTTGCAGAAACTCACAAACTTTGTCCCCTCTCCCTTTCCAAGCTAATTTCTATGGGGATTCATTTTTCCTGTGTGCTCCTCTGTGTGTCAGTCTGTCTCTCACCCCTCTCTGTGACCACTACTCCCTTCCCACCTCAGTGGCCACAGTCCATTTCTTCTCAGTTTGGGAGAAAAACCTGCATCTTTCTGTACATCTTCCTTTTCGTGGTGGCCTGTTCTGCCCCTTTAATTGTGGAATCTGTTCTGCCAGTCTTCAGGTCAGTCTCGGGGGTATTTAGGATGATTTGATAGTTATCTGCATAGGATGAGGCAAGCCTCAGGTCCTCCTACTCCGCCACATCTTCCTCCTTCCACTGCTGGCGTCACCCTATTATTACAGGTTTCTTCTTTGTAGTTCCATGATTGTTTTTTTGACTAAAGTCTACCATTAGACATTTATTTTGCTATATATGTATCAGGAAATTTGTATATTCACTCATACACACATGGAAAAAATAAAACTAAGTAGATTCATTGGCGGAAATAAGATCCATCATAAATATACTGGGATCTCAGACCATTTACTTACTGAGAGGAATACACTCAGGAGGAGGGAACCAGTCATCCTCTGTACATGTCATCGTAGTCTGCTCATTTTGAAGACTGTGGCCAGATTTGCAGTCAACTGTTACAGATTCACCTTGTACGTATTTTCTTGCTTGTTTTGGAGAATTTCCATTTTTCAAATAACTGAAAATACATTGTCCTAAAAATCATATAAATATTGAACAAAAATTTTAAACCTATAAATTCAGTGAAAATAGGAAATTGAAAATTATTTGTACAACATTTAAACTATAATGCCTAAGTATCCCAAAATAAAGCTTCTGCCAAACATTGAAAAAGAAAATAATCGATATTCAATATGATTTATCCTTAGTATTTATAATTAAGATACATGTAAACGATACAGGTGTTTTCATAAAGCCTCTAAGTTTATCCTTAATGTGATTTTAGGAAGAGCTCCTCATAAAAAGAAAATCTTATATTGGTATTTTTACTCAGAAAATTCATCCCTTTGCCTTCTTTTGTCAAAATAGGCTTAATTGTAGTCATTAATATGGTTTCTCTCTCCAGTATGTGAAATATTTATACAAATGTAATTATAAAAAGGTTTACTCACTGCGGCATGGTACTGCTGGTGACCATCCTTCTTGTGTACAATGAATATATTGCCAGCGTTCTTTTGAAACCGTCTCAAAATTGGGATGACAGGAATACCAATATCTTTTTCCTACACGTACTGGAAAGTCTCGTCTATAGTAAGATTCATAGTATAGACTACCATGTTTTATTTTTGGAAAATCACAACGATTCCCTTGGAAGAAAAACAAAACAACAAAAGCACTATAAATAATGTTTTATCTTAATAAAAAATCAAACTGGAAATGAACTGTTTCATTGGTGAATTTTATCCTCTTTTTAGCATTCTTTCACTGATTACATCAGGTTTTCTCGGACACGTTGTAAATTTCAGATGACTGGGATATGTGATGAAATTATTGCTAATGAAGCTAAAATCGTATCTTGTGTGTCCTATGACATATAAACTTGCATGAAGACTCTTGAGGAACAAAACTCTATAGATCTATTTTATGAATTCTCATTGACTATGTATATCTTAGCTCTGGTTCATTAAATAAGCAACGTGGTTAAACATTGAAAATATTTATTTTATTGCTCTGATCATTTATCTTCTTGGTTTTTTTCCTTTTCTATTCTCATTAGAAATCAGAACCCTGCCTTTTCTTATCAGATCAAGACAATGTAGGAATATTGTGGGATATTTTTTCTTAGATTAACATTCATTAATTTTTCCATTTATTCAAATAGTCTAAGAAATATAGAGAAACACAAACATTTTACAGAGAAAAATAAAATTCTTATTAATGCCTCAAACCAATAATCAAGGAAAGTTTTCTCTCTTATTTAATCAGAGAAATGAATTAGGACTATTTCTTAATATCCAAATAGTTAAGACTCTGGTAAACATTTGATTGTTATTTCTAATTTCACCTGGAGAATGAGGTGTTTCTAAGTAGGACATATATCATATATGTATGAGGTGTTTTAAAATGTCATACATAAAATGTCATAGTAAATATGTGATATATATGACACACCTATGTTATATATACATAATATATAATGTGACAGGTTAAAATATGTATATATCACATATGAGGTGTTTATAAATATGCCATTTATGTCATAATATATTTTTGAATAAAGGTGAACTTTTAATGCAACCATAGGTCAAATTTTTTTAAAGACCATAATGTCATATTTCAAAAGAGGTATAATATAATTGCATTTTATTGAGTCACTCATGTATATTGAATATTTTTAACATATGTATCAGAGTTATGTTTCCTTTCATTGGATGCTTTAGAAATGGACAGAAAAATGAACACACATACATCCAAAGAAGACATAGAGACAGCCAAGAGACACATGAAGAAATGCACAACACCACAGATCATCAGGGAAATACAGTTCAACACTGCAATGAGCTGTCACCTCATACATGTCAGGCTAAAATCAACACACAAGAAACAACAAGTGTTGGCCAAGATGTGGAGAAGGGAAAACCCTCTTTCACTGTTGGTGTGGGAATGCAAACTGGTGTAGCCACTCATGAAAAATGTATGGAGATTCTTCAAAGAGATAAACCACTGAACTAGATCCAGTGATTGCACCACTAGATATTTACTGAAAGAATACAAAAATACTACTTCAAAGGGATACTTGTACCTTGATGTTTATAGCAGCATTATTTACAATAGCCGAGATATGGAAATAGCTCAAGTGTCCATCGATAGATGAATGGATAAAGAAGAGGTGGTATATATATACAATGGAATATATTCCATTTACTCAGCCATAAAAAGAATGAAATCTTGTGATTTGCAATGACATGGATGGAGCTAGAGAGTATAATGCTAAGTGAAATAAGTCAGAGAAAGATAAATAACATGATTACACACACTCATGTGGAAGGTAAGAAACAAAACATATGAGGAAAGGAGGTAAAAAGAGCAAGAGGCAAACCAAGAAACACTTTTTTTTTAAATTTTTTTTTAGTGTTTTATTTATTTCTAGGAGGGAGAGAGAGAGACAGCGTGAGCAGGGGAGGGTCAGAGAGAGAGGGAGTCACAGACTGAAACAGGCTCCAGGCTCTGAGCTGGCAGTCAGCACAGAGCCCGATGCGGGGCTCGAACCCATGAACCGCGAGATCATGACCTAAGTGAAAGTCCAACGCTTAACCGACTAAGCCACCCAGGCGCCCCAGAAACACTCTTAATTACAGTTAACAATGTGGTCACGAGAAGGCAGGTGGGTGGGAGGATGGGTTTAATAGGTGATAGGGATTCAGTGGAGTACATGTTTTGAGCACCAGGTGTTGTATGGAAGTGTTGAATCACCATTTTCTATACGTGAAACTAATATTACACTGCATGTTAACCAATTGGAATTTAAACTAAAACAATAAAATAATAAGAATTTCAATGTATTTATGAAAGAAACCATCAGTGTTTTTCAAACCAATAGTGAATAATAAAAAGAGCACTGAGAATTAATCATCTTAGGTACCATGTATTGTAAGAACTCAGAAATGACATTATAGGACAAATAAAAATTTGTAAGCAAATTTTTTCAGTGACTCAAGGCAAAGCAAACAGTACAAGTTGTATAAATGGGAAAGGTATATGAATAGGTAGGTTTAACTGCACTACACATCTAGTTTTCATTAAACAATTGCCAGAATTCAAAGTGAGTCTGTAATGATTCAATGAAATTAACAGAAGAGGATAGTACATAAATGTATAAATGAGTTTAGATATTTATCTATGAATGAGTTTATATATTTAGAGACCTTAAGGATTCTTTCTCATGACTTTGATGACAACTGATTATGTTTAATGGATTTTATCAAACATAGAATTGTGGTTTGCATAATATCCTCACCTACACACCGAGGTGGAGAACTCCATTTTCCCATGTGGCACGTTATCTCATCTTTTCCAGATATCTGGAAACCTTTCTCACAAGCGTAATTTAATTTGGTGCCATGTGCATAAAGCTCAGGTTTCAATGTTGCATCCATTTCTTCTGAAAATTTAGATGATTTGATGGTTCCGTGTTCTATCTGAGGTGGTTGAGGACATGGGTTGTTTTCTGTATAGAGAACAGAGATCAAAAGGGCAAGTTTGGATACAATGTTTAATTAAAAAATGCAATCAAATTCTAGTTGAGATCTTAAAATAAGATTAATTTGAACATATTAAATTACCAAAAAAAACTGAAAAACACATAAAACTTGCAAGCCTATATGTCTCCAGCAAATCTATCTAGTATCTGCTTCATTCTTGTCCTATTCGCCACAAGGAGTGCAGCAGGCATAATCAGAAATTTTCTGTGGTATTCACACCAGTAATATAAAGTTTTTTCTGTTCATTTCATACTAGAAATGAAAGAATACTGAGTGATTTGTATATTATATAAGTATATTTGATTATGTATTTATAATGTAACTTACCGTTTCAAGATAAAGTGAAGTAGATATAGAGAAAGGTCCTTATCTTGTTCATCTACACAAAGCACAGAGGAATATTAACCTCATTTGAAAGAATGTTATGAAGCAAGTGATGCAATACTAACCAACACAGTGTGGTATCGACTGCCATCTTCCATCTTTGCATTCGATTTCGTCTTCATCTTGAGTTATATAACCATCCTGACAGACAACAGATACTTTTTCTCCATCCCGATAATTTATTGTCGTTGACATACTCTGAGCATTGGGAATCTGAGGTGGAGGTGGGCATGACTGCATTTGTACTTCTAGAAATATTAAAATTAGATTTCTTGATTAAAATCATGTTGAAAATACTAAAAAGAAAATTTAACAGAAAACCTAATAATAATGTATCATAATTGATCAAATAATAATGTTATGCTTAAAAATGTTATGCTCTTCAGCTTGTAGAGCATGTTAATATATCACACGTGGTTTATATTCTCATGGTCTTAATGGTACTATCTTCCTTTTATTCCTTCTGTGATAAATCTTGCCTAATTTATGTAAAACTTATTTTAATTATTTTAACCATTATAATGTACTAACTGAATTGTCTACTCAGTAACAGACACTAAATCAATATTGATATCAGGATCTTTTTATAGCTATCCATAAAAATGTATTGTGATTGGATTAAAATCCTTATAAGATGTGGAATGGAAAATAATTAGCCAGAGGAAGAATTACATGTATTAATGACCAATTATCTGATACAGGTTCTTGGACAACATATGAATTAGATATGGTCACTAGTGATTTACAGTGTGTTGTTTAAAGTTCAAAACTCCCTGGAGATACTGTTTACTAGCTTGCTGACACTGATTAGATATATACTGACTGATGA